CACTTTAAATATTTTATGATAAAAAATATTAAAAATTTTACATGTGGGCCACACTACCACATAAAATTATCAAATGAAATGATAGGATGATGAACTAAAAATTTTTTAAAGTCTAAAGATATAAATAATTTATAATTAAATTTAAAATTATTTATAATTTTTTGTGTACACTTTAAGAACACTTTTTACTCATAACCTATATTTTAAAACAATTAAATGAAGGAGAAAATTGTTGTGGTAGGTTTATGCAACTTCAGTTAAAAAAAGAAGGGTTATGCTAATAAGCATTTACATATTTCCCTACTCACAGTTTTCAATGAAATTGGTCATGGACAATAATTAGAAATAATGATAGTTAGGTCTTAGAATACTGAATTAATACGGTTAAGCTTTTGACAATTTTTTTAAGAAAAAATTAGTTGAAAAAATCAATCAAGAAAATTACAAATTTAAAAATTTTAATTGTAAATAAATATTTAAGTATCAAATGTAACTCTTAGATTATAATAAAAATTTTATTTGTAACTGTTTGGATTTCTATTTACAATTTATTTTGTAAAAAAATTTGTTGAGAATCCAACTATTACTAATTTAATATTTTGGGTCCCCAACAATTATTCATACAAGTAACCATTTAATCATTCAAAAATATCACTTTTAAAACCAAATCTTTTAGAGACCATTTTCTTCAACAACCGTCAGAGCTTGACTACTTTCTACGATCTCTTATTATTATTATTATTATTAAAAAGAGTTTACATAATACAAAGAACATTGAAGCTCTGCTACATCTTGCTCTAAATTAAATCAAACATGTTATCTGTCATATTTATTTAGTTGTTAGTTTAGGGTCAACTTCAGAATCTTTAATACCTGAGACTAAAATGGAATTGTTTTACTAACAAATTATTTAAGCCCCTCACTACTAAATTCATATCTAGTAATTTTCATTTGAGCTTAGAGTTATAGCCAACTTCTAAAGAACACTTAATTATATACTATATATGCTACCTCCGTTCAGTGTTGTAAAGCTCTTTTTTTCTGAAATACATGTTAAAAAACATAAATATTTAAGGTCTTTCAAGATGTAATAAATAAGGTTTTGTTGAAAAAAAATGCACTTAATTAGATGTGTAGTTAATTATGTTTATAATTGAGACAACAACTTCGCTTTTGAATATAGGAGCAAATAATCAACTCACACAGTTTAATAAAAGGTTAGTTAAGTGTAATAATTATGTCTAAAAATAAAAACATAAACTAAATTATTCTTATAATTAATTAAACAAATTTTTTTAGTGAAAATAAATATTGATTTTATGAGGGATAGTTTGGATAAAATATGATAAATACTTTTTGAAGTTCGTAATTTTATTTATAAGTAAAAATAAAGACTAACATGATAATTTATCTCACGTTCGAAAACAAAATAGTGTTAAATAAAGGTAGATGTGCCTCATAAGATTGACCTAGGAGTATTTTCTTTCAAAATTTCTTCGAATAATTGCTTGATAAAATTACACCCAAAAATTTCCATTGAGTACCCAAAGTGACTCGTCTAACTAACGACTCATTTCCGCGCCTGACTTTGTGAGCTTCTAGAGAATACAAACATTAATTTTTGAACAACATTGGTCCTAAACTCAAGTTCCATGCATACACAACACCAATATTATTGCCAGCGCAATCATAGCGGCCAATATAATTATGTTCAAAAACTGTGTTCTTTAATTTTGGCCTCATTTAAAGAAACCATTGATTGTTTATAATTAGTCGTCACCTAAAATTATCAATCACTTTTTAGTTTTTAGTTTTCGAGTATGGGCCATCGGCCCCCATATAAACTCTAAACCATCCTTTATAAATAAGAAAAATTTTATTTGTAAAACATGTTGAAATCAATTTCCCCGAATTTTAGATAAATTTTCTGTTGTGGCCCCCTCACATGATCATTTCTGGATTCGTCCCTGGTGGGATGTAATACAGTAAAAAATCAACATTCAATGGCCTCTCGTGTGTGTGTCTCATCAAAATTAGCTTGAAACTGCATCGTATGACCATGAAAATAATCTCAGAAATTTTCAAGCTCAAGACCTAGCATGCACCCTCATGTAACTTTTGAATAGATCTCGTCTCAAGTCCTTCACTAGATCATCCACTGTCAATTCAGCTTAATCTTCAAGATGTTGAAACTATTAGCCAGATTTCATGATCGAGTACAATACCTAAAGAATATAATATAATGTCAATATAGGTAATATATATATATATACTCTCTCAATTTAAAAATATAAAGTATTTTTTGAAAAGTTGAATGTTAAAAAATGTAAAGCATTTTTAATCTTTTGAAGTGTAATAATTACTTTTTTTTTCAAAAGCGCCCCTATTAATGAATGACTTTACATTTATTATAGGGTGTTTAATAGAGGTAAATATGAAAAGATAAGATTAGTTTGAAAGTAAGTAACTAATTTATTAAGGGATGAGATTCAATTAAAAATACTTTATATTTTTAAACAGAAAGAGTGTGTGTGTGTATTTGTTTGTAGGTACCTGAGCCATAATTAATGGTGACGATGAGATCAGTTGAGTTTTCAAATGGCAAATACTGAGAGCATGATACCATTTTGTTTATGTTGCAGTGAATTTTTATGAGTACTTGTCTCTCTAATGATCTGGCTTCGGCCACCTCAGGCAACACATTATTATTATCGGGTCCACAAGTATATGGTTCTTCAACACAAGATCTCTTGGATGATAATATGGCAGACTTCATACTTTTCTTCTTATTGTTGGCTTTCACCTCTCACTCTTTGATTCTTCAATTTGTTGAAGTTTCTTGTTTTTTTTAATATGATTATCTGGTTGAGTCAAATTCAAACATTGTCAAAACAAAATTAAAGATACCTCTTTCAAAAATATTTATACATTCACACATACTTGAATTTGACACCTCATATTCAAGTGTTATGACCTCTATTGCTATATGACTAACACGTGTTTGGTGATTCTTTTTGTTGAAGCTACTTCACATTATTGATAGCTCCACCATGTAAGTAGTAATTTCTTATCCATCACTCCTTTTGTTTCTATATATAAAATATTTTTAGCTAAATATCGTGCACCAATAAAAATTCATTTAATTGAAAGCACATAAGGCTACAACAATTTCCTATTTTTACTCTAATAATGTCATAATAAACATTATGGGTACATATCTCCTCCTCATTTCAAGACAAGGACAAAAAATTTTAATTACTCAAATATTATGTATGATGTCCATTATATTTATGGACAAACTAAGCTTCTAAAAAATATTATATATATATATATATATAAAGACAAAGGAAGTATTATTTTTGCGTGCGCATGGGACATTATAAACCTAATATATATAATTAATAATTAATTATGCACCAGTTACAATCGATGTTAATGTTATGAACTCTAAATTATGTGAGTTGGTTATGTTGCTTACGCTATCAACCAAAAAAAAAAAAATTGCTTACATTTAAATACAGACGGAGCATGTAGCTTTTATTCTTTTGATAGAAAACAGCAAAAGGGTAAAATTAGAACAAAGTAATTAGTAATGCACTTTTTTTATATGCAATGTAACTAATAAAAAATTATTAATTATTTTTAGAAAGTGATGCATATATAAGACTGAAGAGAGTAATCCATTAAAATAAATTTATTAATTTCCTTTATATTTAGATGCAACATATTTATCTCAATGTGGAGTCCATACAGCACAACTGTAAAGGTCGACGCAGCTGGTCAAGAAAGGAAAAAAACACAACAAAAAGGCAGCGATTGTTGTGAAGCGTACAAGCAATAAAACACTGACTTTGACACTCGTCTCCAGCACCTTTAACAACTATTATCCACTATCCAGTCATACTCTAGCCCAAAAAAAAATATCCCAGTCATACTTTGACCAAGAAAATAATTACTCCTATTAAATGGAGATAGTGAACGATAGGATGTTTTAATATTTCGGTTCTTTATTTATGTAAAAAAAAAATTAATTACTCCATGGGCCCAATATTTCGGTTTGTTTTTCACTACTTTACCGAGAACAATAAAAGGTAGTAATTGGTTAAATCATTTTTTCTTCTAGCCCTATTTATAAAAAACATTCCCAACATATTTCACAAGATCAAAAAAAAAAAACACTTTAAGCACCCATCTGCTGAAGAGGAATTTATGGGAATGGAATAGATTAAGAATATAAAGATGAAAAAACAATAATCAAGATGTGAAGAGAAGATAAATCAACCATATTCATGAGATGGAAGTGGTAATTTAGTTTAAGGTTAGGAACTATGATTCCAAAAATCTGCAGTGGATATGGTGATTCTCATTTAAAGTATGTGGTATTGAATTTTGTTTTCATATTTAGCATGAGGGATTGAATAATTTGGTTAATTTTTGTTCTTATTTTTTTGAATCAATTCCATTTCCCATCATTTCCAACAATCAAATAGGCTTTAAAAATTTAACATATTCTAATTTTACACCTATTAAAAATATACATACTTTAAAAATAAAATACTTACAAAAATTTTTGATAAATAAGACCAAAACTTCTAACCCATTAATAAAATCAAATGAGCATACTGTCAGGCAAGAGGAATTTTTTTCCTAATTTATTCTAATTAAATTCATCTTTAAAAATATTTTTCTTATATACAACCTCTTACCTACTCATAGAAAATTGCAAAAACGTAAATTTAAAATAAAGTAATTAATATTATATTTTTTATACAAAATGACTTATAAAAATCACAATTAACTTTTTAAATTTTTTCTGCCAGTATACAAGATCAGAGGGAGTACTTGGATAGCAAATCAGTTGGCGGGAGGGGGAAAACAAGCTAAAATGAGCAAGTTTAAGTATAAGGAAACTCAAGTTATTTAGGAATCCATTCGTAATCCAAATTAAAAAAAAAAAAGGTTATTTCAGTATCTATCATTATATTATTTCATATAAACGGTGGACTGAAAACACTGGCCAAGTATTTTATTAAAAAATTGCCCACAATCAAATCCCAACTAAGTAGTCATTGCCATACAGCAGAATTGTTGCATTGCGTGCTGCAGAATTAAGACCGCTGATGAATACACCATGACAATGAATGTAAACCAAAAAAAAAAAAAAATTGAAACTATGCTCAACTATAGTCAAATGACGTACAAATCTGTGGTGTGGAACAATCCACTAAGTCTAGTTTAAGGACTACAAATGTCCTGCTCTTGCTATAGTTTTCTCTCTTCTCATGATGTGCCTAACATCTGTATGAGATAGTCATGCTTTTACCTGAAAACAGTAGCATTCATATGGACGATATCTGTACATGAATTATGAGACATAAGCTTTAAAAGTATAAAAATCAGGAAGAAAAACCTAACTTCCTATGGAACCACCTGCAAGTTTGACGTCCTGGGAGTGATCTTTGCTGTGAGCATCGCTGCACCTTGGTCATATCAGATCTACAATCATGGGGAGAGACCAGCTATAGATGGATGAGCTCTCCTTCTAGCTTCTTCCCTAGTTACCTTCCTTGAGCAGCTCAGAGCCACAGGTAGATGAGGATTCTACTGAAGTGGGAACCACAGTTACATCTTTTATTCCATCTGACTCTGACAGCTGTTCGGCTGTCTTCCCGTTTTCAAGACAAATCATGAGATCTCTTAGCTGCAAAATTTAAGAATGTGTTGATAGCAGTTCGATTACATTTCATGCGTGGTGTGTGCAAATATAATTTTTTTTTTTAAAAAAAAAGACCAATGTTTAAAAATAAATAAACAAGAGAATCATGTATTTCACCTGCTCTTCCAGGGTCTTTATTTTGTCATCCTTGAGTTTTATGGCCTTTTTCTCCCTAGAAAAAACCAATTCAGTTACTGCCTAGTTGTACGTGTCAAGGGGATTCATGATGATCCCAGATTGGAAAGGCAAGAAAAGAAATATCCCTCAAATTAAGTGCCTGTTTGGGAATTCAACTTTTCACATTTATGAAGCCTATTTGCACTTTTAGGATGTTAGAAGTTTTTGGGTAACAATTTGTACCCAAATTGACTTTCCTAAAAGCATATTTAAGCTAGGCTCAAAGGTACATTTAGCTAAAACCTTATTTCCTGGAGCTTTCCAAACTGAAAGCACATTTCCAACTATCAAAACTTATGCATCATTCATCACTCTGACACCCTACCCTTCATTCCACCATCAGCATCCCAATCAAATTAAATTAAAAACCTCATTTATTGTATTTTCACACTAGTTGCATTATACTCTGTTTCCGTACTCTTAAAAGATAAAATTAAAAGACTTGTTTAATTTAATAACACTAAATAAAAATTATCAAACTATTTCATATTTAAACACTTGTTATAATAAAAAAATGAGCCAAATAAAACAAAAACAAAATATTTAAAAAGGTAATATTAAAAGTTGTAATAAATAATTAAATAATTTTTAAATATTTATAACAAGAATTAAATATCCTCCCCAAAAATGCCTCGTAAATAGATGAGGGGTATTTAAAATTATTAGAAAAATGTAATTATATTAAAATTGTTCTAATATAAAATTTTACATAACAAAAATTACAAATAATAAAAATTAATGTCCTATTACGTAATTATACATTCAAAAGCACATTGCAATATCTATAATCTAAACAACATTTAATTTATTAAACTAACTTTTAAAAAATTATATTCAAACACAAATTTCTTTATTAGAATACTTTTGCCAAATAAACTTTTAACAAATTAACTTTTGGCCAACAAAAAACCAAACAGGCCCTAAGTCCCAAGGAAAAACGGTCAATATTAGAATGTAATGTTGACTATAATGCTGACAACAATTCAACTATACCAACAGGGTTGACTGTAATGTTGCAGTCATGGACACGTAACGTGTGTGTTCATGACGCTGCAAAGATTACAATATTGCATCCACTCACAAGTACTGAAGAATCACAAGAAGAATGATAAGAAATAATAGGAGATGGAAAACAGGAGATGAATTAAAAATTGTATGACCAAGAACAATGGGAGGAAAGTATCTTCAAACTATCTTTACCGACAACCAAACCTAAATGTCATGAAATCATGGTGTCGTAGGAAAATTATAAAGATCAACAATGTTAATTATAAGAATTGCCATTAGTTTGAATTTTCTTAATCATATGGACGCTAGGTAAATTTTCTATATACAACAACAACAACAACAACAACAACAAGCTTTTATCCCACTAGGTGGGTTGGCTACATGATTGCAAGACGTCACTGTACTCTATCATTTATCAAGCTTTTAAAAATATTATTAATTAAGAGATCGCGTTCAACAACTTCTAAGAGTGTTCTCTTAGGCCTTCCTCTACCCCTCTTAATCGGACTCAAAGTTATATGTTCCACTCTTCTCTCTGATGCCTCCCTTGGTCTTCTTTGTACATGTCCAAACCATCTCAATCGATTTTCTACCATTTTTTCCTCAATAGGTGCTACCCTCACTTTTTCGCATATGTGCTCATTTCGAATTTTATTTTTACGTGTATGTCCGCACATCCATTGTAACATTCTCATCTCTGCTACTCCAACTTTATGCTCTTGTTATCCCGTTAGAACCCAACATTCACTACTATATAACATTGCTGGTTTGATAGCAGTGTGATAAAACTTTCCTTTAAATTTATTAGGCACCTTACGGTCGCAAATAACTCCTTTAGCTTTTCTCCAATTAAACCACCAAGCTTGAATCTATGTGAAATATCTCAACTGATGTCACCATCATTTTGAATAATGGCTCCCAAATATCTAAACTTTTTCACTTGAGGTATAATTTGATCTCCTAATTTTCTATATACATCAAACAAATTCAGTAACCAGCTTTTTGCAGCTTAACCCTCATGAGGAGGTAATATTCAAGAGAAAAGAAAACATTAGAGGAAATATTAAAAGCATACCTTTCTTCAATCTCAAGTATCTTCGCTTTCCAGATCACCTGATTTTTCAGCAGATTCTCATTTAACTGCAGACAGAGAGACAACCACAAATTTAACTTCACATCAGCAACAAAAGTTCCTAGTCCCCACATAGTATTACTGAGACCACAAAATTTGTGGCATGGTTACATGCCATGCTTCTAATAAATCAAAACAGCTTCTCAAGGATTTTAACTTACATCATCCAAAAATTTCTTCTCTTTATAACATCTGTCAAGCTTGGACTGCAGCTTCTGCAGTTTAAGAGCAACAGCCTTCTCGACAGCTTTAGAGATTTCTCTCTCAGTTTCTTCTTTCACTTCTAGTAGTAAGGACTCAAAGTACTACAATAAAAATTGTAAAACAAATTTATGCACGTTTAAGATTACTAAGACATTTATCCTAGACTAGAAGAGCAGCCTTGACAGAGTCACTTAAAATGAATAAATATGAACTTACTGATTTTTGGTTTTCAAGTTGTGTAGCAAGCAACTCATTATACTCGTTGACAATCTGTCCAAGAAAACGAGAATTACAACTCAACAGATAAAAGAAACTAGGCCTGTGACACATGAAACAAGTCTTGCAACATTACAGCTTCAACTTTACTGTTAAGTATAGCCTCACTCATAGCAATATCTTCACAGCTGCAGCTTCCACATCTATCGCCTGTATGATCTGTATGCTCACAGTGAGAGTTTAACTCAACCAACTTCCCATCAGTTTTGGACAGGATCAGCCGATGAACATAGTTGTCTTTCACATAATCCCATACTCGCTGTGTTTCCACTTCTTGGAAGTAGCAATGCTGTGTCTCTTTCCAGTGTATTTTGGCATGTTCTGCTTTATATCTAAATCAAGACTTTCTTAGGAATTCCAAAAGACCCATAATTGGGACCAAGTTAATTTTTTTTTTCTTGCAAAAAGGGACTTCGGGAGAGAGGAAGAGTTCTTACTTTCCACAGCCAACAAACCCACAAATAACACATATGCTAAGATTCTCAGTGGTTTGGCAAACAAAACATATAGACTTTTCAGCTTGCTGCTGACAATACCGGCATACCTGGAATAAAATGTAAGAGGCCAGTAAATACTTGATTGACTAATACAAACCAAGACTGGATAAATTAACTCTTAATGTCAAAGCAATATAGAAACTAAAGATGAAAGCAATAATAAATTAGAAGACAAACAGGGTCCTAAAACATCCCAATCCCTAAAGTAGCCCTAGGAGTACAGATAAACCTTTTGCAGTCCTAGGGCATGTTCTATGAGCATAACATCCAAATGTATGTACGGAAACAAAAAGAAAGTAGAGGCAATTACAGGACAAGATGAATCTGCCCATTTTGAAATACAGGAACAATGGAAAGAATGATTGCAAATAGTTGTAAGTATTCCACTTGTATCTTGATCCAATCTCTCTGCAGGTAAAGCATTAGTTAGTGACACAAAGATGTCAACAAACTTCCTTAAATGCAACATTATGGAGTATAATAATACCTGGCAAATGAAATAAAATTCATGTCATAACAGATACAAGCATGAACACAAGGAAAAGAATAGAGCATACCTAAGCACACTGGACATGTAGGCTGTTCAGTTGAACTAGCATTAGATGCTTGTGCATGTTCAATTAGGCCAGTGTATTGCACATCCAACATGAACAAAACACAGCAAACTTCCACCTATATAGAGAAAATAGAAGCATATAGCAACAATATTAACAGAAAAACACATTCCTAATTATTCATTCATTTACTTTTCATTGAAATATTGAGTCCCCTGGCCAAAAAAAAAAAATAAAAATAATTATCAAACACGAACCTCCATAGATGAGAAACGACGCCTATTATAATGCTTGTAGAAACCATCTGTAGAATCTTGGTCATCAAAACGAATTAAAACACTGTACTGATCCTCCATCCCATCATTTCTAAACCAACCCCAATGAACAAGTGAAGTAAATAAATCAGACAGGAAGACGAGACAAGGTGAAAATGAAACAGAAATTCCTCAGCACAGAAATGAACCTGACAATCCGCATCTCCAAGATATGCTGAATAAATGAACCACAGAACTGGCAGAAATCTGCATATGTCATGTGATTTGGCACTCCAAGCACACAGACAATCGGCTTCCGTCCAACCTTCGACAAATGGAAATTAATATCTTAAAATCTGGTCTTCCAAGTCGTCTCACAATGATCAAAGCTAAATTGTAAGAATACGAAGCTTATTTAAAATTAAATTTATGGGCATAGTTTTAACAGTGAAATCAGTTCTCATTTGACAAAAAACTTAAACTTGAAAATGGAAGGCGAATTATTCTTTACTTTAACGTATCCAATAGGTACTAAAGCTGGATCCAAGACAGCAAACGTAGCACCTCCCAGAACCACCAGACCCATAATAACTGATTTTCTTTTAAGAAATTAATCGACTAATGTGTATAAAAAATAACATAACTAATCAAATGATCAAGCGAGCAACTATAAATATCTCCGAAAAGTTAGCTCTGTTGAAATGCATGGCGTGGTGCAGATAAAAACGAAAAAAATTACAGGTTCTAAATCTCATTATTCTATCCGAATTTAACATATCATCAAAACCTATAGAAACGACTTTACACGCCATATACTATAATACATAACATATTTGCATGTCACCAGCTAAATCAAATGCTTAAGAAACTAAAAAGGAAATTTCTAGTCTCCCATCCCCACAATCAATTTCTAGTCTCCGCACAGCTTCATTGAGCTTATTTAATTAAGAGAACGAGCTTACAGGGAGATCAGAAGGCGACGAGGAAGGGGCATCCTCGCGATAGAGATACATGACGCCTCTAGTCTCTTCGATTCTAGGGTTTCCAGAAGAGAAAGGATAGGCCTTAGTTAAATTGGACAAGGAGAAGGAGAAGGATGAAGATTCACTCCGCTCGCCTGAAACCCCCATAGTCGGTGGCCGAGTAACATCGTCCGATGAGGGTCCAGCCATCTCTGTACTCGAACTAGTCGACACTGGCTGCGTCAGCATCACCGTTTGCGTCTGCTTGGAAGAAGCTCGTTTTCAGCGTTTTATAGGTGGTGGTTCGGCATCTAAACGACGCCAGGATTGATGTCGTTTAACACGAAGCACGTGTACCATTTGCTTTCGGAGCAAGTTTAACTTGCAAAAATTAAATTATTTAAAAATAAATAACTTATAACAAAATACATTTTCGACTAGGTGGATAATCAACCAAACTATTTTTAATAATTTAGAATAATCATGTGTCATAAGGTGATATATAATCAAAATCCAAATGCCTTTTCATTTCATTTCCTGACCTTTATACATTGAACAAAATAGCTTTCATTGTAAAATAATATTCTAGTTGATCCGATTCAAATTGAGGACTGGTTGTCTTGGAAGCTAATGTATCTAACGTTGCTGGCCCTGATTTTGTGAATCAAGGAACCTATTACAATGTGGAAAGAAAAGGCAATTCCTACGAGCCAAAGTCATAACTTCAATCACCAACAAGTATTTTTGTTTTGAAATATTCGTTGATTCTTGCAAAGCCATAAAACATCAATGATTAAAAAAAAGAGACATGAAAGCAGAGTTAAAAGGTTCATCTCCTTTATGATATTCAGAAACCCAATCATTAATCTAGTGGAGCATTGATCTAGTACTAAGAGAATCTATTCGTAAATTCAAATCAGATCCAAACTAGGTTGCTCTGGCTAAAAAGCAATATGAGAAAAGATAATCAATTGTTTCCCCAGTGTTTCACAAACTTGGCAAACATCCTATATCTCAAGATGGTGATCAAATGAACATCAAGTTGTAAGCACTGTATTACGAGCAATCTTCCAAATCAAAACTTTGATTTTCAGGATTAAAACAACTTTCTAAAGGATATGCCAATCAAAAACCTAGGTTGGATGAGGATATGCAGATTTAATCAACTAGGCATAACCCTCCTTGATTGTGTGTTTGCCATTGAAATTAAGTGACCAAAATAACAAATCCTTTTGGTTTGAAAAGATAAAGGTAATTGCAAAATCTGGTTGGCAATGGGGGAAGGGTATAAGAGATTCACAAGAACATGATTCCAACGACAAAAAAAGTACTCCCTCTAGTTCAATTTAGAAGGTATGTTCTAAAAGACTAGTTTGGTCTCATTTATAAGTTATAATATAATTTTTAAATAATATTTAAAAAGTATTTTTAAAATTATCTTTTATGAGAGAGAGAAAGTAGCTTGCCGTCACTTTTTAAATTTATTATATAGAAAGATATTTAAAATTTTATACACTTTTATTCCATTTATTTTTTAATTGATATTAATAAGGTTGATAAAAATAATTTATAAAGAAGACTAAAGAGATATAGTATAAGATTTTCTACTTTGAAAAGAGAAGTAGAAGAATCAAACTACTGAAAAGGCTACCAAAGCTAACTATTAAGAGAAATATCATTCACATTCCCCACTATCCATTGAAGATTCTGCAATACCATCATGCTTGCAGCCATGACCCCCCCCCCCCCAAAATAGAGAAGCATTGGATTTAGCAGAAAAGCCAAATATTCTCTTGATTTGTCAAAGAAAATGCATTGTGCTATTAATAGCTTATAAATGGTGCAATTTTTTATACATTATATATATATATATATATATATTGATTGATGATAATATTTGTTGATATATTTTGAATACAAGTAATCAAATCAGGAACTTCTAGCACAACACCAACTATTTAAGCTAAACCATGAGTATAACACCCCAACTTTACTAACTAAAAACTTAATCAAACATCATAGTAATAAAAAGATTTAAACCAATAAAAATAATTATCATAGTATAAAAATTTAAAGTCATTTCTCAAATTTATTTTGAAAAGATTATCACGGTAGAAAAGAGTTAATCTATATTTTAGGGAACTATCATAATTACAAAAACTTCATCTACTAAATAGACATTTAAAATTTAGTTTTGGTAGAAATTATTAAACTAGTAAAAATATGTATGAAAATTATAAAAGTTTACACTTACTATTTAAAATCATAAATAACACCCTACCATTGTAAAAAAGATCTACCATAATAGATAGAAAAAAGCTTAAAAATAATATTTCATTCAACAAAAGTCTAGGCTTATTAAAAGCTATAGACATACGCGTCACATCTCACCATAAATACTTAAATATTTGTTTCAATAAATGTTTTGACATCTAGAATTTTATATTAAAATATTTACTCTGAATAGATCTATTGAGCAATTTCTATAGCCTTATGCCTTAACTAACAGTACCTTTTTCAATCATTAATAAATAATAAATAATTTCAAAGCTCAACATAAATGACAAATGAGTCCTGTATGGACAAATGATTATTCTACAAAATAAAATGGGACTTAAAGCTTACTTAAACTAAGTCTTAGGCTTTCAAACACTTCCCCTTTACTTTGCTCAGCTTACCTAAAATGTTAAAGAGAAAGGTGAGCACTAACGTTTCAATAACCCAGAATTCCACCATCTGTGTGTAAACTAACAACTACACACAATTTATAGTATATGCATACATATCATTAAATTATGAGCACAATAATTTAGAAGCCATCATTCATAATAGTTATATGCAACATACGATCATATGCAAAAACCTCCTCTTATTGCTCTATCTCACCTTATACTACTAACTGAAACCATAGGCTTATCAACTATCTAGCTTAATTGCTGCACTGACCAAAGCACCTCTGAAGCTTGAGATATACCCACTCAAAGGTATAGAGCCAAGTCTCAAAGTATAACTCCCCTTCTCAAAGAATCTAACCAAGAGGTGTCATTGTCTCACATTCTGCCTTTACAAACTCAGCCAAGTAAATATTGAGGAAAAGGGCTTTGAAAAGAAAAGCAAACCACTATGCATGTAATGGAGGCAAACCATATGACGACAATCATGTATAAATCAACATCCTCCTCCTCATCATCATTACCTCCTCAAACTACCATCGATGCATTATGTCATGCATATGTAATGATCATAGTATATACAAGCAGACTTTGAAAGAAATATAGTACCTCATTAAATCATGGAAACAAGTTACAATCATGCTTAGCCAGACTAAAGTAATTCATTAAATTCTATAATCACATTCTTTACAATTTCTCAACAGTTTATCATATTTTTATATATAGTCTACAATTATCATACTCAATCAAAAATTATACATTAGCAACTTATATAAATTACCATATCAAATATAGTTTGCATACACATGAAAACCCTCAGTTACGTGTTTTTATTGAGCTCCCAAATAGTCACTCATCAATCCAGGCAACAAATGTAATGTTCGTCTTAACATTATTAGGACAACACTCTAACACACCGATGTGATAACTCAAATTAATTAAAATCTCAAGAAAAAGTTATCACAACCCAAGGATTTAAAAGTCATTAGTTTAAAACTTTAGTAAGCTAAAGTCATATACAAAATATTAGTTTAAAACTTTAAAAGCCCTTTTTCAAAAGTTGTTAGAGCTCAAACTATAGTTTAGAGTAAATCATATACAAAAACAAAAGCATAAAAATACAAATCGATACTTAAAATCACAAAAGGAGCAATCTAAAAAATTCAAAATTTGCACACCCATCACAACGGATGGCACAAAGGGATGAGTCCCTCAACGTGAATTACGCCGTGACGCAACAACATAGGCCAAGGTATGACAGCACCTTCGAACTTCCAAAGCACGCCATTTCGCCATATGACGTCCAATTTGAGCAATTCAAGTGTCCATACAAAGCTCTTCGAGTCCTTTAACTAATGGCACTGACCTAACACTAAATTCTCAATCGTTAAAAAGATAGACACCCAAACTCAAAATGGTTTGTTTTCATTTCAAAACACACCCAATGGTGTTTAAAACCCACAACCTAATGCCATTAGCTTTGAAACCACTTTGACCAACTCAAATTGACCAAGCACAACATATCAAGCCAATCATATCACACAAATACCTTTCACACATAAAATGGCCACCAAGCCCCCAATTCTCAACAATGCAATGGGGTGGATCAAATTCAACATAATAATCATTTTACCCTTTTCAACACATAAACATCTCAATCATATCACTTATATTAATATTTTGGCCTTTCAAACACATTTAATCACAATCACTACAAGCTTAGGCTAAGATACGCACACATTCCATAAATTCATACAATTGATTACTAAAACAATGAAATGTTCCTAAGTTGGCATAATGTTTAAAATATTCGTTACAAAAACTAAAATGACAAGGGAGAAGTGCTATACAAATGAGCTCTTCACTCTTCAATCGTCCTTTCCTTTCCTTATCCCTACCAAAGCCCTCTCTTGTAAAATATAACTACGAGGTGAGATAAACATCTCAGTAATAAAATAATTTATTACTATTAATTAACATGCACAACTAAAAGCGAGTAAAACTTATATACATTAAAATTAATCTTTTAACATATTTAACCATATATTTTCCATAAGCACAAGTTATTTACCATTAGCATGATCATTCTACCATACAGGCCTCCATATCACCCCGACTAAATTAAAAGCTCTTGGACAGAATGCACATTCATAATGGCCTAAGCTCACCTTCGATGGTAGGATTATCTAGCCAAAGGTGTCCTATCTCACTTTCAGACTATAGTATCCTCCTATCACACTTGAATCAAGGTATCGTTACTCTAATACCGCATCTCTAATGTTAAGGAGCATCAATCTCTAATGTTGTATCCCACTTAGATACTAAAGAGATAATCTCCAACACCATGCCTTACTAGACACTAAGGAGATACATGCCATATGAACTTTCACTACTCTTTCTTATGAGTGAACTTCCACCTCCTATCATGATCATGCCCACACAACTCATATAACACATATTCCTTTCCAATTCTCATTAATTTCATATAAGACTTTCATAATCTCATAGTTTAGAAATCATTTCACATGCACAAAATCATAGTTTACAATATGTAATGTTTTCAAATCACAAATAGAAAAT